TAAGGCCCGAGGCCGTTGCAGGTTTAAAAGTTCTTTCAATGGTACACATTCCGGTAAAGTTCTCGCTTATAACTACCACTAATCAACCGTCCTCACTAACTAGTGTAAGGGACGAGAGTTCCCGTATACCATCAATTATAATTTAATAACTAAGCGCTAGAACACACCATCAATAACGTATTCGTATAAAGTCAACCTTTGGATTGTAGAGGACCTGCCGAGTATGGGCCAACAGGCCTGCTGCAGTGATCCTCCTTTCTTACGTTCTTTGGTAATCCACTGGCTCCATCAGTCCATAACACGAGACAAGACTCACCATGGCTAGTATACAGCTAGAGACAGCGTGTGCTGCCTTCATCCTTCACCAGCTACCACTGACTCTCCCTTCTTCCTAAAACCATTTACCATTTGACCTAGCTGCCATCCACCAATCAAAACTCAGATACCAATGCGATTCCCGTGTCAAATGCGTGATTCACGCCCACCCTTGCTACATATATATATACTGTCATTACAAGATATATACACTCAGAGGTGTATTTCTCTCAGTGTATATACACATAGTATATTGTAATCTCGGCTTTAGGTATTTATAGTATTCTTGTCTGGTGGTGAGGTTGTTGAAGCTTTAATGACCCTAGTGTAGTAGATGAGCTTCAACCCCATTAAGCAGCTGTATTTCTCAGCACAGTGTATATACACTGAGACATACATGTATTTAAATGTATATATATCTGTGTATATACTCTGAGAGTATACTTGATCTTTATTTATGATATTAAAGAATTACTGACTGGTAGTGTACAGGTGATAGGAAGTCTTAATGACCCTCGTGTGTAAGAGAGAGAGAGAGAAGAGAGAGAGAGAGAGAGAGAGAAGAGAGAGAGAGGAGAGAGAGAGAGAGAGGGGAGAGGGCAGAGAGAGAGAGAGACAGAGACAGAGAGAGAGAGACAGAGAGACAGAGAGACAGAGAGAGAGAGGAGAGAGAGAGAGGGAGAAGAAAAGAGAGAGAAGAGGGGAGGAGAGAGAGGAGAGAGAGAGAGACAGAGACAGAGACATTGACCTTCCTTGGATCACTTCACATTGGTCTCCCTGGAAGGTCACTACACCGTGGTCTCCCTGGAAGGATCACTACACCGTGGTCTCCCTGGAAGGGTCACTACACTGTGGTCTCCCTGGAAGGATCACTACACCGTGGTCTCCCTGGAAGGGTCACTACAAATGTGGTCTTTCCCGGAGGGTCACTACACTGTGGTCTTCCTGGAAGGGTCACTTCACTGTGGTCTCCCTGGAAGGGTCACTAAAACTTTGGGCTTCCTGGAAGGGTCACTACACTGTGGTCTTCCTGGAAGGGTCACTACACTGTGGTCTCCCTGGAAGGGTCACTACACTGTGGTCTCCCTGGAAGGGTCACTACACTGTGGTCTCCCTGGAGGGTCACTACACTGTGGTCTTCCTGGAAGGGTTAAAATACACTGTGGTTCCCTGGAAGGGTCCCTACACTGTGGGCCCCCCTGGAAGGGTCACTACACTGTGGTCCCTTTCCCGGAGGGTCACTACACCGGGTCTCCCTGGAAGGATCACTACACCGTGGTCTCCCTGGAAGGGTCACTACACTGTGGTCTTCCTGGAAGGGTCACTACACTGTGGTCTTCCTGGAAGGGTCACTACACTGTGGTCTCCCTGGAAGGGTCACTACACTGTGGTCTCCCTGGAAGGGTCACTACACTGTGGTCTCCCTGGAAGGGTCACTACACTGTGGTCTTCCTGGAAGGGTACTTTCACTGTGGTCTCCCTGGGAAAGGGTCACTACACTGTGGTCTCCCTGGAAGGGTCACTACACTGTGGCTTCCTGGGGAAAGGGGCACTACACTGTGGTCTCCCTGGAAGGGTCACTACACTGTGGTCTCCCTGGAAGGGTCACTACACTGTGGTCTTCCTGGAAGGGTCACTACACTGTGGTCTCCCTGGAAGGGTCACTACACTGTGGTCTCCCTGGAAGGGTCACTACACTGTGGTCTCCCTGGAAGGGTCACTACACTGTGGTCTCCCTGGAAGGGTCACTACACTGTGGTCTTCCTGGAAGGGTCACTACACTGTGGTCTCCCTGGAAGGGTCACTACACTGTGGTCTTCCTGGAAGGGTCACTACACTGTGGTCTCCCTGGAAGGATCACTACACTGTGGTCTCCCTGGAAGGGTCACTACACTGTGGTCCCCCCTGGAAGGGTCACTACACTGTGGTCTCCTGGAAGGGTCACTACACTGTGGTCTTCCTGGAAGGGTCACTACACTGTGGTCTTCCTGGAAGGGTCACTACACTGTGGTCTCCCTGGAAGGGTCACTACCCCTGTGGTCTTCCTGGAAGGGGGCCACTACACTGTGGTCTCCCCCGGAAGGTCCACTACACTGTGGTCTTCCTGGAAGGGTCACTACACTGTGGTCTCCCTGGAAGGGTCACTACACTGTGGTCTCCCTGGAAGGGTGAAATAATCTCAGGTGAGGGAGAGACAGTGACTCTGGCAGTGATCTCAGCACCAAGGAATGTTAGTCTTTGTTACTCTCATAACCTGTGAATATTGTTCCACTCTGTACCACTACATGTACTACTCTGTACCACTAACTGTACCACCAGCAACCACACTACCACTAACTGTACCACCAGCAACCACACTACCACTAACTGTACCACCAGCAACCAAAATACCACAACTGTACACCAGCAACCACACTACCACTAACTGTACCACCAGCAACCACACTACCACTAACTGTACCACCAGCAACCACACTACCACTAACTGTACCACTACCAACACACGAACATGAAACATCACAAGCAAGAACCTACGAAGATAATATTGACTGAACATCAATGGTGGGTTTTTGTATTCGATGGTGAGAGAGAGAGAGAGAGAGAGAGAGAGAGAGAGGAGAGAGAGAGAGAGAGAGAAGAGAGAGAACAGACAGACAGACAGAAAGAGAGAGAAAGAAGAGAGAAGAGAGAGAGGAGAGAGAAGAGAGAGAGAGAGAGAGAGAGAGAGAGAAGAGAAGAGAGAGAGACAGACAGACAAGGGAGAGAGAGAAGAGAGAGAGAGAAAAGGAGAGAGAGAGAGAGAGAGATAGAGAGAGAGAGAGAGAGAGAAGAGAGACAGAGAGAGAGAGAGAGAGAAGAGAGAGAGAGGAGAGAGAGAGCAGACAGACGACAGACAGAGAGAGAGAGAGAGAGAGAAGAGAGAGAGAGAAGAAAGAGAGAGAGAAGAGAAGAGACAGACCAAGACAGAAGAGAGAGAGAAGAGGAGAGAGAAGAGAAAAAAAAAAGAGAGAGACAAGAAAAGACGAGACAGAGACAGAGACCGAGACAAGACAAAGACCAAAGAGAGAGAGAAGGAGAAGACAGACAAGAGAGAGAGAGAAGAGAGAGGAGAGAGACAGAGAGGAGAGAGAACAGAGGGGACAACAGAGAGAAGACTCTTATTGTTAATAAGCAAGAATCTTTAATATTCACTTTAATAGCCGCAGGAACACCAGCGGCCATCAATGCCTCACCCCTAAAGATATCTTTTAAAAAGTTATCTTATTTTAAAACCCTTAACTGTGACATGGGGTAAATCCGGGAATATTTATAGTTAGACGTCCGTACCTTGGAACCAGTGGGGGCCGCCGACACACTGGAAAAAATATAGGTCAACGCATCTAGTTTTTTTTAAGCGGGGTAGCAGAAATGAGGTTCTGGTAACCTATCTTTCACAGGACGGTCTTCGACCCCCACAGTGGTAATTGAAAACATGCCGTACGGGTTGGTAGCGCACTCAGCTCATACCCTGAGGTCCATGGCCTGGTCCCCGGTACGGGTGGAAACACTGGGGCGTGTTTCCTTAAGACACCTGCTGTCTCTGTTCCTGGAGTTTACCTGGAGAGAGTTCCGGGGGTCAACGCCCCCGCGGCCCGGTCTTGACCCCTCATGGTGGAACCGGGCCAAAACCGGCGTTACTGCGGCGCAACCAAAATCCAACGTATGACCACAGCCCGGCTGCCCAGGTACCGACTTTGGTGCCTGTCCATCCGCTTGAAGACCCCAAAGGGGTCATTGGTAACCCCCTTATGTTCGGGAGGCAGTTGAACATTTTGGGGCCCCGACACAAATTGTGTTGTCTCTTAGCGTGCTAGGACACCCCGCTTTTCATTGGGGGAATTTTTGCTCGTCTGCCGACCCTTTTGCTTTCGGAGAGAGTGATTTTCGTTGCAAGTTTGGTACTATCCCTCTAGATTTTCCAGGTGAAATTAACATGTATCTCTCCGCCTCATTCCAGGGATACAGGTTCAGGAACTAAACGCTCCCGTAATTGGGGGTTTTTATCTCCTTTTATGCGCCCGGAATTCCTGTACATTTTCTGGGTAAAGCAATTTCACCGCCTTGAAAGGTGCTTTTATGTGCACAAATTCCGCCTAGAAGAACAATGACCTGAAGAGGTCATCAGGATTTGGGCCTCCCAGTTTTGAAGGTTCCATTATCCATCCTGTCTTTTTTCTAGCAGATCGTTTGATACAATTTTATGGTCCTTGAAGGGAGATCCCCGCATAATCACTCCCAGGGCTTTACGTTTTGGGTTTCGCCTTTTTGTGGCCAAATTTGTTTGTACCTGATGAATTTTTAAAATTTTCCCCGTTTACCCTATCTGAGTAAATTAAATTTTTCTCGTTGAACTTTATATTGTTTTCGCAGCCCACTGAAAAATTTTTGGGGTCCGCCTGGAGCCCTTTCAGTGTCTGCAATGGGAAAACACGTCTGCAGATTCGGGTTCATTTAAAAGTAAGACACGTGCGTGGCTGACATCCTTTCTATGTCGGATAGAGGATGAGGAACAAGAGGGAGCGAGTATTGCCTTTTGGGAAAAGAGTTTTTTTACCGTAGCTGCCTCGGACTTTATCGTTTTAATTCTCTTTTTTTGGCGTTTTTGGGGGAAGTTACAGACCATTACCAACTTTTTGGTTTTCCCTTTAGCACGATTTGTGCGCTATTACCCCATGGTCAATTGTCGGGTTTTGCAAAGTCTGAAAATTTCTTGCATTTTTTTTGTCTTTTATGCATTGGACCTTTTGTAGTGATCCAATATTGAACGACAGAACACCTGTTTTAAACCCTTTTTTGGGGGGGTTGTGTAATTTGATGGGGTTTAATGGGTGGTGATCTTTCTTCTTTGGGCCCTTTCAAAGATTTTTTTGATATGGATGATCTATTGGTTGTAGTTTTTGCTGTTGCTTTACGCCCCCTTTGTGGAAATTGGGGGTTGTCGTTTTTTTTAGTAACTGTGGGGCGACCCCCGTGTCCATGCTCCCTCTCCATAGGATGGTAAAACTCGTGATAGGGGGTTCTTTAGTTCTGATGAACAAAGAGTTCCTGAGTCGGCCCTGGCGAGGGATGGGCATGTCACTTCCCTGTTCGAAGTCA